GTAAAGAGTGGCTTGAGGCTCTCAACAAAGAGTAGCTGCTCTCCAGGAAATTACGCACTTAGATGGTGTATGTCCTGAATCAAGATTAGTTTAGTCAGGGACATAATAAAATCTCCCACTGAGATTCCTTTACAAAATCTATGGAAAATTCATGATGTAACAACTACAGCTTCTCATTTGTTAGCCATTTCTTTCCACTGTACATTAGACAATGGTCACTTAACCCACACAGCAATTCCTGATGATATTACATTATGCTTGTGCTAGTCAGTAAAACAAAAACTACAGCGCCTTAAGCAGCAACGCTTCTGCGTCTGTTGGAACAAAATCTATTCAAATAATCAAGCACTTCTAAGGAACCACTAAAAAGCACAATTAAGGTAAAATGTTTTAATAAATGTTTAATACTTACACTTTTTCTGGTCTTCTGAAACTAAGAACCAATTTAATGCTACCTAATCTTAATTTTTATAACCAGGTGGTAGAAAAGCTTTACTAATTCTGGGAGAGAAATCTTGCTTTACATGCTAACCATGTGGTAACTCTTAAAGTCGCACCTATTAATTACAAACTATCCTAAAATTACAAAAGGGCAACTGAAACAACACTAGCTCTCAACTGTGTCTCGGTGCAAAATAATGGATTAATCTATATGTGGTCTCTAATTTCCACCCAGGGACATTCTAGCAGACTCTTGCAAAATCTTCACAGTAGGGAATCTATTTGGGCCTTGGAAAAAAAAAAAAAACCACAACTTTGTAGACTTAGCATTCATTTAAAGAAAGCCAGTCTTTACAGTCCTACTTCCTTCAGAGAAAACATCCAAACTCGCACCACTGCCCCCCAAGCAATTATTCCAACTCCCTGCAAACAGATTTGATGCAGACCTTGGGCGTACCGACCTTACAAAACCGAGGAAAAGCAAAGTAAACAACAAGCCGATGTATTATTTGTGCTGTAACGTGCTATTTGACTTGCGCTACTCCCCAGTGCAGGGGGACTCCCTTGCTGGAGAAAACAGAGCGAAGAGTAAAGACAGCTTTACTGACCTGTGTGCTGCCGCCGATGCTTGGTGAGGGCATGACGTGTCCCGCCGGCAAAGCCACAAAGGTCACAGAGGAACGACTTCTCGCCTGTTGCAACAATAAACAGATGAGGGACTGCGGAGGTCACAGATCATTAAAACATATCTATCAAGGCTTTCAGGGTTACTAATTCCTCCAATCAAATGTTTCCATGTAAATATGTCAAATGGGAATGAAATTACCACTGCGGTTTATTGACTGTGATAAAATCTGAAAAGCACCACTGAACATAATTACATACTTGTCAGACCCATAAAAATTAGCTTTATTATCAATGGAATGGTTTTGTACAACTTCATTTCTGTTAGATGTCTTCCAGATGGGGCTGCTTTATGCACTTGAACAGTTTTTATGCATATCCTGATTTTTTACAATTCCCATACATCTGGCCTTTCTGTGCTGAGTAAAGATTGCCTGGAAAAAAAAAGTTAATATACTGTATATATGATTCTGCTTAAATAAAATATATTGAATTTACTAACAAATTAAGGGCACGGAGAAATTTTCAACAGACTAGATCACAGTCATCTTTAGTTACCTTCTATTTATTAATAAGTATTAAATTATTTTCTTGAATATACAGAAGAGCCCAGGCAACAATAAAAGGCACATTATTCAGTACCAGTGGCAATTCAGCGCTGTTTATGTTTCTAAAGTTTTCATGACATAAAGAAAACAGGTCTGGGGATTGTTACTGAAACTGCAGCAGACCTCATATTGTTCGTCTTCAAATGATAATTCTTCATTCCAAACCTCTGGACCAATTCGATAGATTTTGGCAAGCTCAATACTCATTAAAAGTGTTTTCTAATAGAAGCTAGGATTTTGCCCTGTTGTGTATAAATACAGTCTACCATTTCACAGCCATATTTTCACTCAGTATGTACTAACACACAGAGCAATCTCAGCCCATGAAGGCCACATGGAAGGTCGTTATGAATTAATAACGCTAACCTTAGATAGAGACTCAGTAACCTCAGGTAAGACTGAAATTCTTAATTTTTCTTTTTTTTAAAGGAATCACATTAGTCATTTGGAGCCAAATTGTCTCCTTTTGCAGCAGCACAGCGGAGAGGGGGCTGGTGGGGCAATGATGCTGAATTCATTGAAACTAACAGTCTCCTTCAAATTCTTCCCCGTGGGGAAGGAAATTTAGTTTCTACAAAAGACGGCTGGGTTAAGAGGTCGGGATTCAAATTACCGAGTCCTCCTGTGAAGACAGAGGGATGGAAACCTCCACGCTGCTCATTCCCACACAACCAGACACACTAATACACACACTTTCTGGAAAAGCACAGGGCCTTGGTTAACTTTGGATGGCGTTACTATATGCAAGAGGCTATCCTGTGAGCGGGAGCTCCCCGGAGACCAGCTGCCCTCTCTCTCCCACCCCTGCTTCGATGGGAGCTCAGGGCAACCCCAGCTCCTCACCAGTCGTGGCAGTGCACAAATCCCTGGGCCCCACGCTACAAGGAGGAAAGCAATCCCTTCGAAGTTTCCAAGGCAGCCTGAACCCCGTCACCACAATGGGATCATAAAAATGCTGATTGACTTCCACCAGGTAGCTAGGATATGAAATGCGATGGGCACATACTAACCTGCATTTCAGAATAAAGCAAACGGTGTATTGGTATTTTCTGCACCCAAACCGCGTCATGAAAAGTGGACTGAAATTTTACAGGATTTTGGGTGGTCCACTGATGAGAGTATCCCAAAACAGTATCTAAGGTGCAAAATAATTTCAGTGCCACCTTTCAGAAGTCAGTTCTAGCCACCTGTGATTATAGCTGAATTAAAATGAGCAAACAAGCCCCCCAAAAAACCCGTGAAAACACCCACAAGCTAAATAGAAAAAGCAGAATGGGAACCCATCCTATCATATGAAGAAGGCATATGTGCTAAATGACATAACAGAGTCTGAATTTTACTGTAAAACGGTCATCAGAAATATTGCTGAGCTTATACATGGTTGTTACACAGAGATTTCTGAATAACCTCTTTCCTTCATTTTTTTTGGGGGGGGGGTGTTAGTGGGGGGCTTTGGTTTGTTGTTTGTTTGGTTGGGTTTTTTATTTTTTTTAAATAATTGGGAACTTCAGCATGTAGCACTTCATCAAAATCTCAAAGAAAAGGAATAGAGCGACTCCGCATAATGCTTAATTATAATTAAATATTAATTTAATTAATTAATCAATTTTAAGTATAAATCTTTCTAACTAGCTGTAATGCCTAACACCCCAGCATAAAATTCAGACTTTAAAGTTAAATGCTGTTCCATGCCTACCAAGAAATTGCTCACCATCTATATATTGTCATAAATTAGCTCATGTTGTGTTTAACATCTAGGAGCAGACTTCAGCACGGCCTGCAGCCTCACACACTAATGAGGACACAGAGTACCCACAGCCTATTTGCAAGCTCACAGATTTACTGGGTAGTTTAGATGTGTGCCTTTGGAACAGCTTTTTGAGCCACAGAGAAATCATTCCAAACCAACCAACAGCTTTAAAATAGGGAAATTGATCCACCCTATAAAATGATTTGCCAGTTAAACATTCCACGCTCCTCGAGGTCAGATCTGGGAGCTCTCGGGCCGGCAGGGCTCTTGAGGCTTTGGATCTAAAAACACGAGACTGGAGGACATTTGGCCCCAGCTTCTTAAGCTCAAGAAACGTGGATGGATTTGCTTTTCTGCAACGTTCATTTTCAGGAATATTAATAAATTAACTACATTATTAGGGTTTGCATCGTGGTGCGTGCACAAATACATACATCCACATGAACACAGAGAGAAAACGTCATCACCTGTGACTTTAAGTTTGACTGCACAGCATTTCTTAGCCCTGAAGGTTGATGTGGGTTGAATCCCTCATATCTAGACAGAGTATTTCATTTGACGTTATGGACATGCATTGATACATACATGCATTTTACATTCTTCTGGATATGCTTAACAATTTTATCATTCCAACTTCAGAATTTGCGACTTTTTAACTTTTTGGAAAATGTAAAGGCAATATTTCACTTGCTGTACAGGGGGCTGATCTAACTTGCCATGTTTATATGATAGCAGAAATGCAATAGAAAATGGTCCTTTTCTTAACAACTTGAATTAGTTTCAAGTGTGCCATTTTGCATTCAAATG